ACAAGGGATAAGAATCTTGGGCCATCACGAGTGTGGAGAAACTGGATGGCTCCATAGCCGATTGTTGGTACTGAGCCCATGACTCTCCGGGTTGAGAGAGGGCCGTGCTCTGCTGGGAGTCGGTTTGCTACCCTGCCCCGCGGTGCTGAGCACATTCCCAGCATGCTCTAGAGTGTGGAGTTGTCCCTGTGGGCCTGCGTCTTCCCTGGTCCAGCCTGGGACTTTGCATAGACAGGAAACACCCAGACCAGGCTTTGTGAGGCTGTGAGCACTTAACCTGATATATTTTGAAGTTGCTGTCCTTTGTAGATTTGATTTGATTTTTTTGCCTCCTTTATCCACTTGTGTTAACTAATGAGCTCCTTTTTCCTTGTTTGTTTTTTTTTCTCCCCCCATGTCCCTGTAAAAGGCCCTCGGGACCAAGGCCCACGCCATGACTCTGGTGAGTCCATGCAGGATGGAAAAGCAAGGCTTCATGGGGCCCTGGCACAGTCCTTGAAACCCAATGGAGAGAATGTAGACAGCTGTGGGGGGACAGGCGGGGACAAGCCAGACCGGGGCGCTAGACATGTGCCTGCAGTTAGCTGGTATCAGAAGCTTCATTCACGGGCTCCTTGACCAGAGCGTTAGTTGGTGTGAGGGCTCCAGGGAGCTGCATCCCAGGTGATGGGGACCGTGCTGAAGGGCTGCTACTAGGAGGGGTCGTGTTTGTGGGCAGCCGAGGGAAACACTTCCTGAATTGCTCGGTTTTGATTATGGCTGTGTAGTTTTCGATATAAAATAGTTTTTGTTTTTTACAATGGAGTTTGACACATTGGGTCTACTTGTTACTATTGAACTCTGGGCTCCAAGTTGATGGGGCTTCCCTTGCCCGAAGATAGTCCAGGTGGCTTCTGCAGCGCCCTGGGTCCTCGCAGGGGACTCGGTCCACCCACTCTGGGAAACATTGATCTACATCATTGAGAGATGAGTTTTGGTCGCAGGCTTAGTATTTTAAAGGTGCTCACTATTAGGGGTTGCTGTCTTCTTGTTGATCTTGTTTTCTTCCTCTTGCCCCCTTGCCTCGTTTCCGTGGTGGCTGCAAGCAGAACAGGATAACTCCGACAACAATACCATCTTTGTGCAAGGCCTGGGTGAGAACGTCACCATCGAGTCCGTGGCGGATTACTTTAAGCAGATTGGTATTATCAAGGTACTAGGGGTGTGAAGGGGGGCATGTGCTCATTGGGGCAGGGCTTCTGGCTAGTGAGGACAAACTGATAGCCGATTCGATATGTTGAAGAAAGAATATCAGTGCCTTCTGTTTTGTAAAAACATCCTGTCAACACAGGAAGGTGTCCTCGGGGAAGGAAGTGCCCAGTTTTGAGTGTCAGTCCCTAGCTTGTCTCTCGAGACTGGAAGTGAGAGACTGTTGGCACCCAGTTGAGCGTGCAAGGTGCTGAGACTAGGACACATTGGGACAAGGGGAGCTGAAGCGGGGAGGGTGGGGATGGTAGTACTGCTGTGTCCTTGAAAATGAACGGTAGCCCATTTAACCTTTCCCCACCTGCAGACAAACAAGAAGACAGGACAGCCCATGATCAACCTGTACACGGACAGGGAGACAGGCAAGCTGAAGGGCGAGGCCACCGTCTCCTTTGATGACCCGCCTTCGGCTAAAGCCGCTATCGACTGGTTTGACGGTACGGCTGTGCTTGTGAGGGGAGTGCTCACTGGCAGGCCGGCTGCTGGAACCCGCCCTTTGCTCTGAGGGAGAAACAGGGTGGTCTGCTCCAGGACAGCTGGGACAGCCTTGGAAACTACCAAGTCTTGGTGGATGGGCTTTGGCTGATGGGAGGAGGGAGAGGAGGGGCAGTGCCAGTCCTTGTATCTGCTGTCTGCCTGACAGCCAACTCGCTCGGAAGGTGCAGTCTTCTTGCACCCGGTGTACCAAATGTGGTTCTGAAGTCCTGATTTTGACAACAATTCTCACTGTATTCTTTATTTCTGTAGGTAAAGAGTTCTCGGGGAATCCCATCAAGGTCTCCTTTGCAACGCGGCGAGCAGACTTCAATCGGGGTGGCGGCAATGGTCGTGGAGGCCGAGGACGGGGAGGTGAGGAACTGTCTGGGTGGTATTTCCTGGTGCTGGGTGAGAGAGGGAGGGGGTTGGTGGTGGTGGTGGTGGTGGTAAGGGCTTTCCTGGAGGCGTGCATGGAGAACAGGCTCATGTGTTGTGCAGGACCTATGGGCCGTGGAGGCTATGGAGGTGGTGGTAGCGGTGGCGGCGGCCGAGGAGGATTCCCCAGTGGAGGAGGAGGTGGTGGAGGACAGCAGCGAGCTGGAGACTGGAAGTGCCCTAACCCGTGAGTGAAAAGCCCTTATCACCCGTTCAGTACTCTAACGGTTTGCTACTTCTCTCTGTGATGGTTGTGCGTACCATTTTATGTATGGCAGAGTTGTGTGTGTGCTTAACCGTGTCCAGGCCCCGGTCCTGCCATCCTGACAGTTGTCAGCCCGTTGTGTCAGTCCATCCCGTCGAGGTTCCTCCTGTATCTGCTGCCCCTTCACCAAACACGAGGTCCTCCTCCAGGGCTGGTCTCTTCTAACGTGTCCAAAGCACGTGAGCCCAAGGCTCCTTTCCTCTGGGAGCATCCTGGCTGTACATTGAAGACAGATGTGTCTGCTCCCATGGTGCTTTCCACAGTCTGCCAGCGCCGTCACTGAGATGCTTCGGTTCCCACTAGGGTGGGAAGGGCACCTGGGCTGCTATCAGTAACCCTGAAATTATCTTTTCAGGTCCTGCCTGTCTGCGGTGGGTGGAGGGGGGGGCGTATCGGGGATTATACCATCTGTAAGAGGTCACTATGATCCTTAATCTGTCTTTACCCCTGCCCCCCCTTGCTTCCCCTCAGCACGTGTGAGAACATGAACTTCTCCTGGAGGAATGAATGCAACCAGTGTAAGGCCCCGAAACCAGACGGCCCAGGAGGGGGACCCGGTGGCTCGCACATGGGTAAGGAGGAGGCCAAGCTGGTAACGGGTCAGAGAGCGAGCTCGAGGGAATGCTGGAAGGACTGGGGTCAGGGCAGCAGGATTTGGGGAGATGCTGATGGGTTTCTGTTGTGTCCTAGGGGGTAACTACGGAGATGACCGTCGAGGTGGCAGAGGCGGCTATGATCGGGGCGGCTACCGAGGCCGTGGTGGCGACCGAGGGGGCTTCCGAGGGGGCCGGGGCGGTGGGGACAGAGGTGGTTTTGGCCCTGGCAAGATGGACTCCAGGTGAGTGCAGGGTGGGGTTGGTGCTGGCCAACCATTGGGGTGGGTTTTTAATTTTGTTTTGAGGGTTCTGTTGGACCTGAGCTAGAGGGGGTTTGGGGAGGGGTGGGGGGCGTGGCAGCAAGGACTTGCAGGGTACTCTGCAGACCCTGCTGGCTGCAGGGTGTGGGGAGGGCTGGGGGGAGCACTAGAAATGCAAACCTGTGGCTTTTGTCTTTGCAGGGGGGATCACAGGCAGGACCGCAGGGAGAGGCCGTATTAACCTGGCTCCTGGAACAGCTGTCCTCCCGCACCACCCCCACCCCTTGTTCTTTTTGTAACCTTCCACCTCCACGGGTTTTTTGTGTTGGACTCTGTAATTGTAACATACCTCTGGTTCCCATTAAAAACCATCGTTTTAGTTACATGGTGTCCTCCTGCCCCTCCTCCCTCCCAACACTTGTAGAAGCTTGAGGTCAACTGGGTCAGGAATGTGGGTGGTTCTCCCGATGGGCCTGGCCTGTAGGGCGGGAACAGGGAACTTCGGGAGGGAGTTGTGGGATGGATGCTCAGCCCAGGGAGGAGAGGCACACGGCATGAGGAAAGCGGTGTAGATGAAGCACACCTCTGACTGACAGTGCTGCTGCACCGCCGCTGGGAGGGCGGCTCTCCGTCTCCAGCATGATGGACGGGCTGGTTTTGACAGGTGTGCCAGAGTGGGCTCACAGGTTTGGCTTTGGGGCAGTGGAGTCTGACTGACGGAGTGCACAGCCAGTCAGGAATGGCGGGGCTTTTGTGTAGACTTAAGTCTGGGCACCGGGGCACTCCTGAAGTGGGGTAAACAAGAGTGGATCCTGTCTCTTACTGAACGAAGGTTGGGGGCTGAGAACTCCTTGGCATTTTCTGTTCTAGAACCATCCTTTGAGGGGACCTGACAACACTCCTGTAAACCTGTTTATTAGGAGGTTAACTTTGGCTGAGATTTAGGTATGGAAAAGGGAGGGGCGGGTACACGTGTTTGTTACAGGGAGCCAGCTGGCCTCCCAACTAGAACATTGTTCTCAAACTTAGCTGGCCACTTGACCCTTTTCAGGAAAAAGGGTGCCCTGACATGAACTTTGTACCTGACTGCAGGGTGGAGTGTAGGTGTCTGCCTTTGCAGTCCCCTAGGTTATAAGCAGGCCAGAGGTCCTCAAACTTATTAAATGGGGGGCCAGTTGACTGTCAGACCTGTTGGAGCGCCAGACTATATAGTTTAAAAGAAAACTCCAATGCACACTGCACATAGCTTATTTTGAAGTAAATAAGCGGGCAAGAACACCTGGCGGAGGGTGAATGTCCGCGGCGGGCTGTAGTTGGAGGACACCTGCAGCAGGCTGTTTGCGGCAGACAGGCAGTTGGAAAGCAGGCTGGTCTAAGGGGAGAAAGGCGGGCAGTTCCCCTGCCCTGTCGGACTGCTTTAAGGATTGAGTGAGTTTGCTGGGTTTTGTCTTTTCCAGAGGGGTTGTTCCAGTGTGGCCTTCCCCACCCCCTTCCCATGGGGACAGGATTCCCCACTTGACTTGGTTTTGGTATGGTGAAGGTTGGCGAAGCTTAGGCTCCATCATGGGACTGGGCAATGAGTGCTGGAATCTCAGCGTCAGCCAGATGCCATTTCTGGTCCGTGGTGATCCAGGGCTCGGCATTGTGTCCAAATTCATACGTTGCGTGTCAACTCCCATAGGACTCTTGGCTCCATAAAGCGGCTGTAGCCAAGACCCCATCCAGAGCACAGTTGGGGGGGTACCTGGGACCCCTCCTTGGGGAAGAGCTTACCGGAGGATTGCTTCACTCTCAGCCCTGGTTGGAGGCAGGGAGCTTGAGGCAGCTTTCTCCAGGGTGAGGAGTGGGTGACTAGCCACGCAGGGCCTCCCCCAGGTTTTCCCACAAGGACTGATTTGGCTCTGGAAAGCCCTTAAGCTCAGGCAGGTGATGCTAGGCCAGTGGTTCTCAACCTGTGGGTTGTGACCCCATTGGTGCGGTGGGGTGCTAAATGACCCTTTCACGGGGGTCACCCAATTCATAAATTACAGTGATGAAATAGCAACGGAAATAATTTTATGGTTGGGAGGTCACAACGTGAGGAACTGAGGGTGGAGGCATTAGGAAGGTTGAGAACCACTGCTCTCAGCCTCCCTCTAGTGGACAGGCTGCCTCATCTGTTATTAACCTCCCTTGGGAAGGCTGGGCCTTGCATCGAAAACCAAACTCGCGGCCAGTGTGCCAATCCATTTTCTTTGCTGCTCCTCTGCTTTACCAAGCATGAAGTCTCTTCCATAGGTACTGGTCTCCGGACGACTTGCCCAAAGTGCCCGAGAGGGTCACTGCACACTTGCCTCTAAGGAGCTTTCTGGCAGGACTTCCAAGACCTTTTGCCAGTTAGGGTTCTCACTGTTCTCCAGCACCGATTCCTTAGGACAGAGGAGAACCCTCCTTGTGGTAGTCTGGAGTGTAAATCTTGTTCGGGGTTAGAAAGCCTCGCCTTTCTCCCACAGA